AGACAAATACACATTTCAGGATTTACAGCATTGAACAAGTACATTTTTTAATTTCTCTTTTTTTTAATCATGTCTCATAACTTTGATAAAGGTTTAACTTCTGATATTTCCATAATTATATTCATCTCTACTTGACTGAATTTATGGTGAAACGTTTATTTAATAGTGATTAAATAAATGCTGATTCAGAAGCTCTGACACTTTGTGATTATCAACATTAATTACATAACTTTCATAGCACAAAGTACAAGGACACTTGCAGACAGGGGACAAAATGACAAAAACAAAGAGCTCAGGACTCAGCAGGGTGCAGTAGCCATCTAACGTTACAAGACAGGTCAGGACAAATTACTCTGGACAGGACACAAAATGATCTATTGCAGCCTCCTACTTCTTTGAAAAGTGCCTTTCCAGAGGTACGGCCTTGAGAAACTTGTGTCATCTCCACCAGAGCCCAGAGATTAGCTGCTGCGTTTAGAGGTGGGACAAGTGTAAAGACTGTCTAATCAATGTCACTAATTCTCTCAGTAAGAACAATGATGGAGGCGAAACTGGGCCGCAGAGCAAGATGATGGAATCAGGTCGGGAAAACTAACAATCCTCCCTGCAACACGTTTAACGTTATTTTAGCAATGTTAAAAATAGACGGTGCGATGCGTCTCCACTTCCTCCCACGATCCAGAAACGGAGATGAAACAGTCGTAGTCTTGTAGGAGCCAGAGTTTGCCCAGTACAGATCGGGGGTGGGGGATGGAGGCGGGGTGGTGAGGTCCTGATGATGACACAAGCTGGACGGATCGGAGAGTCGGGTTCAGCTGTCAATCATGATGTTTCACCCCATTTAAACAGAATCAAATAATTCAAACCAAAACCCACGAGCAAACATTGTGATGAGAACTAAATAAAATTACAGAAACCATTTTCATTTGATGGACACTTTTTTAATTTGGGCCATGTCCCATCCATTAACACGGAGGCAGTGGGATTTACAAGGATATATAGTGCCTCCGGAATACAAACATAACAAAGTTAGCGAATAAGATAGAAACAGCCATTAGCAGCTCTGAGGCTACTTTGCTGAAAATGCTAATAAACATTCTAATTATTAACAATGACCAGAGTAGATGTAGAAACAGCTACTAGCAGCTCTGAAGGCTCGGCAGCTAAATGTTAACTTTAGTGAACTCAATTAAGTTTTGCAGATTAGATATAGAAGCAGCAGATACACGCTAATATCCACCTGCTTAGATACACATCATATGTATACTCTAAAACAAAAACACGGTATTCATAATGGAAGGCAAAGAAAGAATTTCGCTGTACAGGATTTTATATATGACAATACACACTTTGAACGTGGACTGAATGCTAACATGCTGTTGTTTAGCAGATATAATAGATATACAAAAGCTCCTGCTGTAGCTATAGGGCTGCTTCAATAAACACAAGTACAACTGCAGCTGAGAAAGATGGCAGCAGACACAGAACAATTATTGTGGGTTTAGTTTTATTCCTTTCATTTAATCCATGGTGACAATAGAGCAGAACAACAACATGCTAGCCTGTATCCGGTATCAACGCTTGGCAACGAACAACACACAATGAGCAGAACACCACAACAACACACCGACGGAACAGTCATGTGTTTGTTCATAACTATATAAAACACAACGAAAAACTTTGAAACCAAAGAGTATTAAGTTATTTTACTGGAGAAAATACACATTGAATGAACTCACTTGTTCAATCCAGTGCAGCTGACACACCTGGGCTCCGACAGGAAGTCCCATCTCACCTGTGGGTCATTAAATACACACAACAAACACAGTTTATTCAAGTATTCAACACACAACAGTGTAAAAGTACAGTTTGTGTAGTTTTTGTAGTTCGTGTACTTTAGTACCTCTCACGCTGCTCGGTCTCCTCCTCCTCCGCGTGGACGCGCCACTCAAGTGAGCACGTGCTTACAGAGCCACTCCCCTCACTCGTATTTGAAGGCACGACTACTTCCGGGTTTGTGACGTTTGGCGGGAAAATCTCGAACTCCCGCGCGATTTGACGCTGAGCTGTTCTTAAAGAGACAGTGTCAAATCAACGCACTGTTTGTAAAGCAAGGAGACATCATGTGGGTTTTCAGCTGGTTACATGATACTAACATGTGATTCAACATGTATGATGGAGAGATTACGACACTGTGTTCATTCTGAAGGAAAATAATATGAGAATAATGTCTTAAAATAATATTTTATTCATCCCACACTGGGGAAATTTCAACATTACAGCAGCAGAAGGGCATTAGGATAGAGACAAATAAAAATATAGAAATAAAATAAAAAATAAAAAAAAAAGAATAAAAATATACATATATAGCCTATACATATATATATATAAAATAATAAGGTCTTAATATTGCAAGGGTTGGGACATATATCAGAACAATATGAGACAATATGAGAATAAAGTAATAACTGAGAAGAATCAATAGAGTCTGAAGGAAAGGAGAAAAAAGTATTTTACCAGAATACATTTGTAATTTAATGAGGAAAAAAGTCATAATATTACCAGAATAAAGTTACAGACAGATAGATAGATAGAAGACGAACCACATTAAACCATGAAATCCTTACAGTTTCAACATGAGGAGTTAGATGTCTCTGTCAGATAAAACTGTTATCAGTAAAGTGTACAACAGCTTTGACTCTACTACTACAAAACACACAGGACTGGCTCCAGCACAGAATAATTAGTTGACATTATCATGTTCATAATAAAGAGTGTGACAGCAACATGGCAGAGTGTGACTAGTGTGTTTTAAACAAGCTGCTCCGTAACTGCGCTGACTGAACTAATATCTAATGGCTCTAAATACTGCTGTTGTCAGAGAGAACATCAATATGGAGCCGATATGGAGCAGAAAACACACTGGAGGAACCCCGAGAAAAATAAATGGGTGAAAAATGAACACAACTAGGAGCGAGAACTGAGCAGCATGAGAAAAAGATAGACTCCGCTGCAGATGGAGAGAAATGAAAAGATAAAGGACAATGGGAAGAAACAGAGATAAAGAGAAGGGGGAGTGTGGTGACAGAGAGGGATGGCAGCAGCACTGGAGGAACAAAGTTTGTCCAGGAGAGCGAAGAAAGAGAGGACGTGACAATGAGAGTGTGTGCAAGTACAAGAAATACATATATATCATCCTGGAGAACAAGAGGCGAGCAAGGGGAGATGGATCGAGAACTATTTAACCTGAACTATGCTGCTTTCCAGAGAAGAGTGGGGGACATTTATCAAGCAGCACATCGAGAGGAAACATGAGGACATTAGTGACTGATCTTACTGTGATCACACTGCTCGACAGCTAACACAGGGATGGAAACAAGATTTACTTCAATCATTCATGGTGCCCAGGGGATGAAACTTTACTGACCTACAGCGCCATCATCAGATCAAAACTTTCTGGGTTTATAACCACAAACCTGAAAACTAACAGTATTCTCATCAGCCACATCTGTACTTTTGTGCTAATAAGTAAATAATACACTGAAACTATAACCATGGTGAAGATAATGATCTACGTTAGCGTGTTAACTAAGAAATTATATCTACTGGCACCTGCAGGCAATAGATTGAATTACAACTGCAGTTTTTCTTGTTGTCCAAGTATTTAATTATGAGACTATTGTGAGAAATGTGACTTGTTTCTAACAAGATTAACTAACATTAATGATAGATATCCATGACAGAATAAACTTTTTTTCTTGACTCTTTCATAACCAACGCTGCTGCGACATGACGTCACACTGCTCTATTGAAAGAAAGTAAAGTTATGAATCATCTCTAGACTTTCATTAAAAAACACCTTTGTGCATTTTTGTCGAAACATTGAATAATGCATTTCCACAAATACACTTTCTAAAATCTCAAGAGAATATTTTGTCTTTTGTCTTGTTGGGACAAACCTCAGTGACCTCATTTGAAGTTTATTTCCAGCACATGACGTGTGATGCTAACTTTTTCCCCCAGTTTTTTTCTTTAATGGAACAATTCAATCAGCACTTTTTACACTGTGTAATTAGAATCTTATTTCTGGGGAGAAGGGAAGGGCCAAGCACACGACCTTTCAGTTATGGGATGGCCTCTGGTGGTTGGGCTCTTATTAAATGTTAAGACAAAATATTGTGAGTGAGAAATGCTGAGCACTGTTGTTCTTTTGTTCGCTGGTCTCATTGTGCCCTTTCTTCCAAACTGTAACTTAAAGGTAATTGTCACACATGCAATGTTATGTACTTTTTCCACTTATGAACACAAGGTTGTTGTTTCCACCCTCATCCCATCACATTTACAATTTCAGATTCTAGCTGCCAATAATAATAATAATAATATATACATGCACCTTCACCTTTTTCCTCCACATATTATTACACCTCACACTTAGATTAATTAAAGTCAAATGCACAAAAGCATGAATTAGCACAGAAATCAGCTTTATAATTTCATGTTGACTTAAAAACACCTTTTATACTCCGACCACTCTCATTTCCAATAAATCAACCCACCATCAACATTTCACATTTCACTGCAATGATTTTCTGTAAATATGCAAATTTACTGAAGTAAATTTTCCTGGAGTAAAAAATGGACTAATAATAAATGGTGAATGGCACTGCAGAGTGATACTGACATTTCAAAGGTGTCATTAAAGGCTAATGCACATTTCATATACAGATTATCTTACACAGAAAATCTATCCAGAGGCGTCTGTTGTTCCTCCTCCTCATCTCTTGTGTCTTTCCAGAGATAAATCAGGATTTGCTGTATGTGGGTTGTGACAGACGGGATGGAAGGCATCTTCTTGGTATCCCCTTCCCAAAAAAGCTCTTGATTTGTTGGATAATGTTGACATTGCACATGTTTCTCCAGAAGTAAAGAGCAAGAAGGATAATCTCTGAATATATCTTCTTCACATGGGAACTGACAGGTTCACAGTTCTAATATTAATCTGCTTCCAAGTGGCAGAGGTATATATATGACAAATTAAGAGGAACATCCATTGATGCTTTGATTATATCCCTACAAATTATGTTGTTCACAGTTAAACTAATTACTTGGTTTGACTTAAATAATCACTTTTTATCCAACAAGGCAAGAAATGTAATTTCGAACAAACTTATAATACTAAAAGGATGTTGGATGTGAGGGATTTAACTTTCTTCATCACTAATTAGTACAAAATTAGTATTCTCTACATCTTCATTAAAATACAAGCATCTGTAATAACCAGCCTTCTGAATGTTGCCAAAAAAGCCTTTATATTCCTGCTTTATTTGGCTCGCTCCGTGCTTCTGACCCATTTTTAAGAGAACAGGTGGAAACACCAAATTGGTTTCAAATCTTATTTTGTGATCTTTGAACCTGAGGAAATTGAAAATCGTTTGGCAAGCGGAAACATACACACGGTATACACAGCATAAGATCACCTTTCTAATATTGACTCGCTGGCGCTTTTTTGCACAGTTAGCTCAAGGCTTAAACATTCCCTCTTTCCGGATCTATTTCTGAAAACTCCTTTTTAATCTTCCCCCTTTCATCTGCATCTGTTATTATGTAGATAAATGGATGTTAGATAAAATAAATTAATCGCAGTGTCACTGGAAATGCACTGTGTATTCCTGAAACTAAATCTGAACCTTGTTTTTCATTTGCCTCTCTAATCGCACTAAACATCACAACCTAATAAGCTCTACACAGTTCAAAGCAATGCACTTAATATACCTCTCAATCACAGTTAACACCGTAAGCCCTGAAAGAGTTCATTTCGTCGAGTGACATTTCTAAACTCTCCTTTAGAGAGGTCCAATTTTCACAGCGATAAGTAGGCAAGTACGCCACAATACGTGGGCCCAGCCTTTCCGAGCTGTAATGAGTTTAAGTCCCATTCTGGCCAACTGTGCTGTCTTGTTGTTTGATAGCAGTGTTATCCACACTCACTTGCCCTTTCTCTTAGGCTCTGCAGGGCCTCTGGGACTCAGCTCGTACTGTGTGTTTACCAAATCCCACAACCTAGTCGGGACTCTCGGGCTTCGCGAGGAAATTACATTCCATAAGGTCCCCAAGAATACTTAACTGGCTAGGTGGCAGTAATTGCAGGTCAGATACAGGATAAAGTATGTAATGCTGCTGGATGGAAATATGTGCTTTGAAACAGACGTAACTCCACGTACACACAACCATGCAGGGTGTTGTATAACAGTGATTATAAACAGGAAATCATAATGTACTTTTCTTTAGAACCTGTTTGTAGTGATGAGTGTTTTGCCACTTGGGGGAGCATTTATCCACAAAACTAACGAAAAGAAAAGTGACTTCACCGTTGCAAAGCTATAAGAAGATTGAGGAAAGAAAAAATAGCAACATGTTTAACCTGTATTACTTTTTTGCTAATTGCTAATTTTACTTACTCATCTCGCTTTGCTTTCAACTCTGTTTTAGTCAAAATTTACTCCTGAGGGTGAAATTCTGGCTCTTTAGAAGATGAAAACTGCAACACACAAACTAGTTGATGAATTGTCTGTCTGGTCATGCACGCTTGCTTTACCTGACTTACTTAACGAAATTAAAACGTGCTCCCGTGTATAAAAGCACATCTCTTGTAGAGAGAAAACAAAAAGGTGGAAAACCAAAACACTGAGCTGAAAGCCTGTAAAACGCTGAGTCAGGTGATAATTTCTTGCGGGTTCATCACTACAAACGACCTCTCTGATGGTCATTTGATCCATTTTTAATATAACAAAAAAAAGATTATAGCAGCTTTAAAGTGGAATCTTGAGTTTATACCCATTATACAGTACATTACCTTTTACAAAGCCAGCAGACCTATAAGAAGCACTGACCTGATACCCTCCATTTGTAAGGCTGAATACGCTTTTATACCCTACTGTAGACAGTTGAATGGCCAACTTAATCTTTGGACTCTCACATGAATTTGGATTCCCTCACATGAAATGCCAAACG